GGTGAAGAAGGAAGAGGCGAGGTGAAGAGAAGGAAGGTGAAGGGTGGCGACGAAGGTGAAGCCGGCCGCCAAGCCGGGAAGTTGACCGGAGGCGTTGACCAGGTTTGACTGGCGTTGACTGGGCGTTGACCGGAGTTGACCGAGGGTTGACCGGGGGTTGACTGCAGCGTTGACCAAAACGTTGACCAAGATCTTGATCAAGCTGGAGCCGGTATAATCTYGCCAAGCCTTCAGCCTATCCCTCGCCTTATGGATATGCACACACCCTGTGGTACTTGCTGAGTCAAGTATGTCTGTCTCTTCTTTCTGCATCGAGTCTCTTCTGTTTAGGTGTAGGAACTTTGTGGATGAAGGATACGGGCTCGTTGACCAAACCCCTGCCGGACTAAGTAGGGCTAAAGACTGTGTCTGACGACTCGACTGTCCCGGAGGCCTAACCCTCCCAAGGACCGATACAGACCGACGGCTGCTCGGTGTGGCACGGTAGGCCCAAAAGGCTAAGTTGTGGGCTGCGCAACAGGCAGTCTAAGTGTTGAGAGACCTGCTGATCGCGTTGTCCTGTTTGCGACGTTAAATAATTCCTGAGGAGTTACGGGGGATCTCCTTAAATGCCTCCTGATCAGCAACAGGTCTAGTAGTGACAGCCTTAGAATAGGTCTAGGCTAGAGACCCCAGTTGACAGGATCCCTGTCCGGATTCTGTGAGTCTTTAGATTGAGGCAGTCAGTTTGTCAGTCAAGGGTTAGAGTCTAAGTGGTGAGGTTTGCAACCGCTAATCCGGTTGTGCACTATTCACCATGGTTGACGCCCGTACTGGGAAGAGCACTAGCCCTTATACCCAGGCTCAACAGGAGCAGATGGTCGCCCTAGTGAAAGAGAATAGAGAGAGGAAAGAGCTCCTAAAGCAAGCGAAATTGAAAGCAATCGCAGAGGAGCAGGCGGCGAAGATGAAGAAACTGGAGGAGGAGATGGAGGAGAAGAAAAAGGCTACTGAGGAAGAAGCAGCACCAGAGGAAGCGGAAGAGAGAAGACGCAGGGAAGAGAAAGGGGAGAGTAGTGGCACGACGAATGCGGATGCAGAGATGGAGAAAAAGATCAGCGAGTGGATAGCTAATTTGTCGTTGGGGGAAGATGAGGAGGCACAGTTGTATGTGCCACAAGTGGAGAAGGAGGCGTCTGCCAGGGTACTAGCAACGATTGAGGACCCCCTGGAACGACAGGAGACAGAGGAGGAGAAGAAGTTGGAGTGGAGGTTGAAGATGAAGAGGGAGAAGAAGAGAAGGAGGGAGGAAGTTAATCGGCTGACCGCAGAGGTGGAGAAGGTGAGAGCCTATAGAAAAGAGGTGCAGGCGCAGGCAGATGTTTCTGCCAAAATGGACAAGATGCTGGGGTATCTAGAAGTATTGAGTGAGGCCTGGTTGGAGGAACGCCAAGCCAACTGGGGTCACGATGTGGCCCTGAGTGCTATGCGGTCAGGGTTTCGAGAGTTTGCGCGCGATATGGTTACCCACATTGGGGCCGAAGTCAGGCGGTTAAGAGAGAACGTGGGGAAGTTCTGTGAAGGCGCCATTGAGGGTGCCAAAGCAGTAGCCACCGTTGAGAGCGAGGCCAGACCCCGCAAGGACCCCGTTAAGCTTAAATTCCCAGATGCATATGGCGGGAAGAAGGAGGAAAATTTTGATAATTGGGAGGCTCTAGCGTCAACACCTACGTGTATTTACAACATATTCTGACTGAGGAGCAAGTCCTCATAGCCTTCCAGGCCCTCAAGGATGAAGCGGCCAGTTTTGCCAGGTCCCTTGCGCGCTCAGCCGGTTGTGAAAACAACCTGGTTGCATATTCCAAGATCACCCCCTTCCTCAGTTCTTCAAACTCCTGCGAGAAAGGTTTGCTAACCCAACTAGAGGCGTGAGGGCCTCTGACAAGTTACAGACCATCCACTCACGACAATGGAGGAGTGCACGAGCACTCAAAAGTTGTCATGGACGACTTGGTAGCCGTCCCAGACCATGGGGTCACTGAGGCCCAACTGGTCCAATTATTCTATCGTGCCATGTCAGAGCCCCTGCGTGGGCATTTCTTTGATAAGTCTCAACAGGCCGACATCACATATGATGTGTTGAGTAGAGAGGTGGTCCTGTTTGAGTCGAAGTCCATGCCAGTTTCCACTTTCTGGCATAAGGACTTGGATAAGGGCAAAAAGTGGAAAGGTCGTACCATCTCTGGCCAAGTCAGGGTCAAGGATCATATGATCCTTACTCTAGAGGAGGGTGGTACAAATGAAGTCCCCTACAGTGAGATCGAGTGGGGGTTAGAGGAGGAGGACAGCAGCATAGGGCAGGGGAGGTCCTACGCGGTTGTCGCGGCTGGAGGGAGGCCTCAAGGTCGAGGAGGAGGCCAGAGCCAAAGGGGCCAGGCCACGAGAGGCCGAGGATTGGGCGCACAGGGGGTTGGCGGTCAAGGGAACCGTCAATTGGGAGGTCGAGGTCAAGCTCCCCCGCTGAATCGTCAAGGTCCCAGTCGGTCCCCGCAACGACGAGGTGGAAGGCCACCTCAACAGACAGGAGGATGGCACCCAGGCTTGCCACAAGGCAGACCATGGGAAGATTTGGGCTTGGACCAGCGCATATGGCAAGAACGCGTGGACCTGGGTCAGTGCGTGTTTTGCGGTGACCAGGCCCATGTTATCAAATTTTATCCAGACAGGCCCGATGGGCTGCCCAACAGTCAAAAGGCAGCCGCCAGTAGGGGTTGCAACTGCCCCTACTTCAAGGCCATGTGGGGAAGCGAGCGCGCTCGAATAGGTAACTCCCACACCACATGAACCTATGGCAGAGGTTGCAGGCCAATGTCTAGCTAGTTGTCCAGAGACTGCTTGTGTTAGCGTCTCTCTAGGCACTTCCCTCACAGGCGTGGCAGAAGAGTTGAAGGAAAGAATGCCGGCCTGGGCCAAAATGAAGAAGGAGAGTAAAGGACAACTAATTTTAGTTGATGTAGAAGTTTTCAGGAGTAGAGTAGGGGCCCTTATAGATTCAGGGGCTACCCGTAGTTATATTAGCCATAGAGCGCTGAAGAAGCTCAGGCTAGGATTGAAAGCCCAAAAGTTGGCAGACCCCATAGTCAGTGTCCTCGCAGACAACCGCACTATGCGTGTTGAGGACTACGTAGAGGGAGTCCAGGCGTATTTTCGCCTACAGAAAGGTGGGAAGGTGGAGAAAGTTCTCCATTCCCTGACTCTCCTCGTGCAGGACGACCTCCCTTTTTACATAGTGTTAGGAATGGATTGGGGAGAGGCAACAGGGGCCACACTCCACTTGAGAGAGCATGAGTGTAGGCTCCCGTCAGGCGAGGTCAAGACTGCCCGCCTGTTTCATGTGTCAGGTGTAGACAACACTCTGGCACATTGTTGTCTAAGTGCTCCCGCGTTCGTGCGACTAGTAAAAAAGGAGCAACTAGAGGACCAAGTCTTTGTAGTACATGTCAGACCTGTCACTGAGCCTAAGGAAGGGGATAGTTCCACGGATCCAACCATTGCCAAGTTGCAAGAGGAGTTCAAAGATTTGACCGAGTCACCGACAGGAGTGGTGCCGCGACCAATCCGGCACAAAATAGAAATAGAGCCTGGCAGTAGAACTCCTAAGGGAGCAGTCTACAGGATGTCCCCTAGAGAGTTAGAGGAGTTGCGCAAGCAGTTGGATGAGCTCCTGGAGAAAGGTTGGATTAGGCTCAATTCATCCCTTTTTGGAGCACCAGTTTTGTTTGTCCCCAAGAAGGAGGGAGAGTTGAGTATGTGCATAGACTATAGGGGTTTGAATGCCATCACAGTGAAGAATGCTGAGCCGCTGCCCAGGATAGACGATCTCTTAGATCGGGTGCAGGGGTGCAAATACTTTTCGAAGATAGACATAAAGTCCGGTTATCATCAGATAGAGGTACATCCTGATAACCAGTACAAGACCGCGTTCCGGACTAGATATGGGCACTATGAGTTTATAGTGATGCCCTTTGGACTGACCAACGCGCCAGCTACATTCCATCGTTGTATGAATGATTTGTTCAGGCCATGGTTAGATAAGTTTGTAGTAGTCTATTTAGATGATATATTAGTATTCAACAGGACCCTCCAAGAGCATCAGGGTCATTTGAAGCAGGTCTTGGAGAAGTTGAGGGAGGCTAACTTCAAGATCAACCCAAAGAAGTGTGAGTGGGCCAAGACATAGGTTTTGTACCTGGGCCACGTGTTAGACGGAGATGGCATCAAGCCAGAGGACAGCAAGATAACGGCAATTAGAAATTGGCCAACGCCCTGCACATTGACTGAATTGCGGTCGTTCCTAGGCCTAGCTAACTACTATAGGAAGTTCGTGAGGAACTTCTCAACTGTCGCCGCCCCACTTCGCAGGTTGCTTAAGAAAGAGGCAATCTGACAATGGGATAAAGACTGTACGTCTGCACTAAAGCAGTTGAAGCGCACGTTGATAGAATATCCTTTCCTCAAAGTAGCTGATCCGTCTTTGCCATTTGTCGTCACCATGGACGCGAGTCAGTATGGTATAGGCGTCGTGTTACAGCAGGACGACGGCAATGGCTATAGACCCGTAGAGTTCATGTCAGCGAGGATGCCCTCAGAAAAGGTCACTACCTCGATGTATGAGAGAGAACTCTACGCTCTCAGGCAGACCTTAGAGCACTGGAAGCATTACCTGCTTGGGAGGCACTTCAAAGTGTATTCAAACCATGAGACCCTTAGATGGTTGAAGACACAGGCCAAGATGACACCTAAGTTGACTAGGTGGGCCGTTGAGATAGACCAATATGACTTTGAGCTTAAACCGGTCAAAGGCAAGTACAATGTAGTTGCGGATGCTCTAAGTAGGAGATCAGATTACTTAGGAGTTATAGTACACTATCTGGATATAGGGAAGGACCTGCAAGAGAAAGTTAGACAGGCGTATGCGCAAGACCCTATCTATAGCGACCTCCTCAGGAGAGTTAAGGAGGCCCCAGAGACTGAACCACACTACTACACTACAAAAGGATTGTTGTTTGAGAAGACTGATGTAGTAGACCGCCTGTGCGTCCCCAACAGCGAGGAGATCCGTAGTTTGATCCTAGGGAAATGTCACGATATAGAGGGACATTTCAGTTAGAAGAAAACTTTCGCCAATCTGATGCGTGCGTACACCTGGCCAGGGATGAAAGCTGACTGCATAGAATATGTTCGCAGTTGCAAAGTTTGCCAGATAAACAAGACCACTACGCGCGCCCCTCTAGGTCTTCTCAGACCCTTGCCGATCCCAGACCAACCTGGAGATTCAGTTTCCATTGACTTCATGGACGCAGGTGTCAAGAGTAGGCACGGCAAAAGCCAAGTCATGGTCATAGTTGATAGATTCAGTAAATATGCAGTTTTTGTTCTTTTACCTGCAGAGGCACGCACCGAGTTAGTGATTTAGAAGTTTTTCGATTTTTGGGTCAGTGATCACGGGGTTCCATTGTCTATTGTTAGTGATAGAGACACCCGCTTCACCAGCCAGAACTGGCAAGAACTGATGAAAGTCTATGGGTCAAAGTTGTTAATGCCATCTGGCCGTCATCCAGAGACTAATGGTCAGAGAAAACAGATGAACAAGATCCTGCAGCAAGTTCTGCGCATGTATATTAGACCGGATCAAGTCAATTGGGACGAGATGTTGCCTAAGGTACCCAGCGCATACAATAACAGCGTGCATTTGTCTACCTGTCGCACTCCCAACGAATTACACAAGTCCTTTAGACCCCGCAGACCGTTTGAGGGACTTACCCGGGATTAGATTCATAGGCTACCGCCGAGAACCAGGGAGTTTGCGATACAGCATGAGAGAGAACTAGCTACAGTTGTTGAGAACCTCAGGAAGGCCCAACACAGAATGATAGAACAGGCAAACAAGCATCGCCGCCCGTCTCAGTTTCAAATAGGTGACTTATTCTGGGTCAAGTCCAAAGAGTTTGCTCCTGAGGAGAACATTTCGCAGAAGTTACTACCAGCGTATAGAGGACCGTGGCCAGTTCTAGAAGTTAAGGGTGGAGAGGATGGACTGTCCTAAACAATAGAGATTCCAGCACACCTCCACACCTACCCTATATTCCATGCATCAAAGCTATTGCAGTGTGTCACAAGTCAACAGTTCCCTTCAAGAAGATCCATGATCCCTCTAGATATGGATGGAAGATATGACATTGACGGCATTGTAGATGAAGATGTGTTTAGGACAGGAGGTAGAGGTCGTCCACAGAAACAGTATAAGGTCCGGTTTGCTTATCAGGAACCGGAAGACGACCGCTGGTTTACTAGAACAGAACTTCTAGAAACAGCTCCCGACATAGTTAGAGCCTATGAGCGTGATAAGAAGGGTAAAGGTCCTGCCTTGGACTAAGATATTCTCGGAGGACCTCGAATTTAGGACGGCGGGAGTGAAAGGGTTTTCACCTTTTTGCAGTAGCAGATGCAGATCCCAGGGCTCGATCCCTAGTCCTTACCCTACCGTGTACAGTACCTGTGTAGACCCCGAGAGTTGAACCCGTGACCTGTGTACTCGTAAGCAACTGGTAGGCTGTCATAGGTCCATAGGTTGTAGGGGTTCGAT